TTTTGTTGTCTGAACAAGTAGAATTAAAATTGTTGACTTTTTTTAGAAACTTTTTTCTTCGATTGTTCAAAATTCTCAACAATCTCATTTCTGTTCATTTTCGTCATTCTTGTTCAATATTACATGTTATTTCAATGAATGTCAACTTGGAATAAATGAAAGAATTGTTCCTTCTTTACTTGTTTTTCTTATCAACATTTACATTCATAATGATAACATGATGACAATCAAAGTTGCCTTCAATTTTGTATTCATGGAAATACATGATTTCTCTATCGATTGTCGATAACAATTCCACATATGATTTGATTCCATGTCAATATAAAGTTTCCCTCAAGCAATAAATAGATGAACATTTCAATTTATATTAGAGCAAAGATTATCACTATTATTACCTCAACCAACATCATTTCAATAGCAATGATACACAAAATGAAAATGGAAACATTCATGTTCCTTCAGTCTAAATGGACTGACAATCGATTGAGCTTTTTCATTTTTAACATGAAATAACATTTCCTTTTAAGTATTGACAAGATTGAAACCAAATAAGATTTAAATCATTGAAATTCACAAGAAAAAAAAGTATTCATCAAGTTGAGTGAAAATGTTTCATTGAATAGCACAACAGGAATGAAACTGAAAATCAGTTCAATCACTTACATATTCGAGCAAATTAAGATCGAAAAACAAATTGATCAAACCTTCGACTTTACTCAAGAATCGAACCAATTATATTTTCTAGATTTTCGTTCAACTTTTCATTGCTTGTTAATGAAGGAAAATTTGATAAAATGAAACTGAAGTGATAACGATGTTGATGATGGTGCTAATGATAATGTTTATAATGGCATTTGAAAATTGTTGCACTTAAGGAGCGTGATTTACTAACAAGAAAATTGTTTTACAACAATTATTCAAATGATGATAATTGTTATTAAATAAAGGTTTGGTCTAAATGAGCCAAAGGAGGCTAAGTTAATAATTTAAATGACTAGTTAATAGCAAATGGGAAATCATTTAAGCTTGGTTAAGATTTCATTAAGGTTGTGTTGATGTTGCTCTTCAAGGCGAGACTAATGCCATGTAATGGTGAGTATTCAAATTATGTTGACTTTCAATATCGATATCGAAATGATAATAATCACAAGACTAGACTTGAATTTGATTAATCCAAATGAATGGTCATTTGCAGTTGAACACAAAAGATTACAATGAATAAGTGAAAACAACTTTCACTAAGAGTCACATCAAGCCTGAAGCGCTTTCAACTACAAAATAAGATAAAATGGCAACATATTAGTTAAGCTAATAATAGTGATAATAATAATGATAAAAATGGGATTGGCTTTTGACGCTTCACAAGTTATCAGCATTTCGTTGAAAATAACATGAATCAAGACAGAAACGTCTACTGGAAGAGAGAGAAGATGAGAGAAGAAGAAAAAATGAAGAGAAAAATGTAAAATGGATTAGAATTCTTCATCTTCATCTCGATCCTTCTCATGGGCAGAGAAATGATAATTTTAACCTTACCTAGTAAACGGAAAGTTTACCTTCTTGACATGGATTGTTACATATTTTGTTTCCAAATAGCCGTCAGCTAAAAGTTCACCTTCCCTTTGACTTTCATCTTATGAATTTCGTAGCAACCAGCAAAATTCATTAGCGAAAAGTGAATCCACCTTAAACATCTCAATTGGCTTCTTTCAAGTAAAACAAAAGTCTTTGTTCAACATAAATATGAACATTGTAAATGAACAACTAATTGATTGATACAACATTGTTAATTATTTCAACTAAAACTAGAAAACTTTGAAAGGCACAAAAACACAATATTATTGATCACATAATAGGTTGCCTGTTAATTAAACCATTAATCTTAATTTAAATTGGCTAATTCAATCAAATTTCAAATCATGTTTCAATCGCGACTTGCTGTTTGTTCAACAGTAAAGTTAAAAATTGTAACAACTTTATCGCTTCTCGTAATCAACAAAATAAATGAATAAAATTAATCATTTAATCCAATTTGTTTTTCACTTTTGCCACAACAAATGAATTAGATAAATCATGGTTTTGAGGTCAAACTCGTGAAAAAAAATGAAAAAGCAAAATGAAATATTAGTTTTCATTTTCATTTTTTTTTTGGCAAAGACTTTCTGATAACATTTTTGGGTGTTTTGTTTATAATATTAGACTTTCAACAGATCATTAAATTGAACTCATCTCAGCTGAATCAACATGGATAACAAGCAAACAAACAGTCAAGGGAAAAACAAAGTTCAAGTCCAATGAAACAAACAAACGGTTCTCGGGTGGCCTTTATCAGACTCAATGTCATGGGATTGGTTATTATTGGTTTATTGTTGGCTTTACCTGGGAAAGTACAACTGGAAACAACGGGACAAACCAATTGATGGTCTAATTAATAGTTAGCTGGAGCTGAGCAAATAGTAAGTTACTTTTCACTTTGGGTGAAGTTGAAGAGCTTCGATAATAGCTGGGTCAATCGGGAAGGTTGAGTCTGGTTGCGTGCAAATACTTTGGTCTAGTGTATCAGTAACGGCCACCAGAAGAGTTGCCTTCAACTTTACACAGGTAATCATGATGGATTTAATAATAATAATCAATAGATAGATGAGTGCCTTTAGGGAATGAAACTAAAGAAACATATTGTTGGCCATTTTCATTACTTTTTGTGCTTCTGTGTTCAAAGACGGAAAACCAAAAAGACTTTTATTCTTCTTCTTCTTCTTCTTTCAACCAACATTCCTAATAATCATTGATTCAACCAATTATCATATTTTACTATTCAACTTGATTTAACCATTATTATCATGTAATGGTTGAGAGATAATCAGAGTTTTCAGATTAAAGATGAAACTATTAGTTTTGAAAATTGTTTAATCGATAAACTGATTTATCCAGTTCAATGTTTCATTTTTAAATGGTTATCATTAATTGTAATGGCTCAATGGATCCATTTCAAGTCAACTTGTACAGAAATGTTGTGCTATTGATTGATGGTTCAATGTAAAATTAAATCATTTGACGAGTTTAAATCAATTATTATTGTTCTTCTTGATTTCCAGTTGAATGTTCAATGCATAATGAGGGTTATGAGGGTTCTTAAGATGTTAATATTTGCTTTTGTAGCAACAACAATACGAATAATGGACGTTCAATGAATATCCTATTGAAGGACATTTGACCTTAAATGTGTTTACTCACAAAGGATATTAATGTTATGGCCATTGATTGTTCAGTTTCACATTACCAATCAATGTTTAATAATTGGTTAATAAGATAACACAAAACATTAGACAACAGTTTAAGGTCAAAGTGACATATTTGGTCAACAAGATTATGTTGCATTCAAATGAGACTGAAAACAAATGCACATTTATCTTACATTAGCTGAACAACTCTCAACAAACTTGAAAATTAGCTATTTATCTCGATCGACTTTCGATTAAATTGCAATCGAAAGTCCAAATTGCTCCAATTAATCCTGTACAGAGAAGCTTATTATCCGTTCGAAGTAACAGCACTTTAGAAGTTATAATTAACCACAAAAATGTTGTTCCTTAGCGATGCTAATTGTCTATTGAATCTTGTTTCAGAAGTGGTTCAATCTTAAATCAGTTCTGCTCTTTCATCATTTCGGATTAGTTTTCATTTCTCAATTTCCTTATTTTTTATTCAATTTACTTCAAAAATCCTCTAATCGTTCAATTTACAGATTCCTGTTGCCTTTAAAGCCATTTTCTGGGCGGCTTAATTTTAGATGAAAAACACGCCTTAATACAAGTTCATCTTTCCTTCAATTTATTGATCAATTTTGTAGACTAACTAGGATGGTTGAGGATTATATGGTTCATTCATGTTATTTGGAGCAAATTGAACCAGAAATTTCAAGACGGAAGAGCTGAAAGACTTAGCTGGTTACCGATTTCTCTTTATTTTCAGTTCGATCTTGTCAGCCTATCTTTTGCTGCACAAAAGAGATCATTGGAGTTGCAATTGCTTATGAAGCACAAAACTATCGAGTTACTTGAAATGTTGATCTTGATATAAAAGAGTTTATTTTTGTTCGATCAGAGGATTACAATTAATGGATTAATATTTCAATATCAATTTTAAATGGTAATATTATTCCAGTGAAGATGCAGTGAAATCGACTTTAGTAACATAGTTTCTATCATGCAAAATAACCTAATTAATTGTAGGACTTTGAGTTAGGTTTTGCCCTCAGCTTCAGTGTTTCAAGTTTGTTTCAATTTTTACCATTAATAATGAAACTTGTTGTTGAGCCTGACGCATTCAAATGAATATTTATTCAGATTGAAATTTGATCGGACTTCTCACCAAATGCCTACTTTATATCAAAGTTATTCAGTTTGCAGTTTCTTTCACCTTCAAGCTTTCCTATTACAATTGAAACTAAGTGATTATAATTATACGTTTTCAATTAAATGTGAGTCAATCAATGGTAAGTAAGCATAATCTTATAGGATTAAAGTGATGATTATGAACAAGATGGTGAGATTGATGAACTTTTACTGAGATTCAGGTGAAGATAAGGAGAAAGATGATAATGTTAACTGTTGAACATTTGATGATGGCGATGATAACTGGAGAAAAAGAGATTCAATAATATTGAACAAGTTCAACTTTAACTATATAATTATACTGATGAATCAACAAAATGTAAATTGGGATCAGGAAAGGAAAGCAAACAATGATAATAAGTGAGGTTCAACTATGAATTTGAGAAAAGATGATTAATCAATCGACTGCAAAAGGTAAGATTGATGATGATGATGATAAAGCTCAATTTAAAGCAACAGAAAACAAAAACATTATCGAATAGCAAAAGGCGAATATACAATTTCAATTGGTATAATTAATCAAAGTTGTTAAAATTTAACTTTGAGTGTTGAATGAGAATAGAAGAAAAAATGAAAAAAAAATTGATTTCCAATGAAAATACTTACAATTCAAGTCGACAGTGACACTTGACACTTGAGGTGAAGATATGTTATTATTTGATGCTTGGCAGTTTAAAACGGCCATTAAATCGTGCCGTTGAAGACTTGCTATTTCAAGGGTATTACGAATGATACCGGAAGCTAGTGTTTCATAGGAATCATCGAGTAGCACTGATTCCCTCCACCATGTTAATGAGGGACGAGGCTTGCCACCGGAAACTTCACAGTTTAAAGTCAATTTATCACCTTCATTGAAGGGTCCTATAAGACTGGTTAAGGGTTCACCTGATTTAAAATCAGTAATAATAGGTTTCTCAGGTGGCACTGTAAATGAATAAACATGGAAACAATTAGATTACAAGATACGAATGAAATGACAAAAGGTTTTCAGGTAACAACAGGATACTGTGAATGATCATTTGAAATACTTTTCAATCATCTTTTACGTCAACTTTACACTGTTTAGTTACACTTTTGTGACCGATCATGTTAAGTCTTTGGGTGAGGTTGGTTGAGGGAAGGAGCAACAAACACTGTAAAAGGAAAGAAAATGATGAAAACCATTTTCTCTGTGGTTTGTGCCAATTGTAATTTCGATTCAACATTCATTCCAAACTAATTCATCATATTGGTTGACATGAAATGATAACAATAATGGCATAACTAATGACATTCAGGTTTCAGTTTATCATTGCAAATGTTTACATGAAAATTGGAAAAAGTAAATTTAAGCAAATGGTTAACTTGAAGATCAAGTGCATCTCAAGTATCGGTTCAATTTTATTTAAAAAGCTTATGGAGTTGAAGGCATCTCTTTTGCTTTACTTTTGTAAACACTTTTCCAACTTGAAATTTCTTTCCTTCATCATCGGAAGTTCCTTCCCGGTAATCTAATAGTGTTCATGTAACAAACTCATTGTTGTCTTGAAACTTTTTGTTCAACAGCTTCTTAAAAGGCTCTCATTTAAATTAACCTTGTTTTTCATAATTTACTTTTCCTTTCACTCGAGTTTCTCAAGTAAATAAAAGACAGTGATTCTGATCAATTTCAATTGATATACCATTAACCCTGACAGTTTCAGTTTCCGGTCAAATTTCAAAATTTACTTTACACACACAAATTGCTCTAATGTGTTTGCTCAACAATTAATTTTTCATTATGCTTTTGCCAGTCATTATTAGTAGATTAACTGAAAATGTGATAAACTCGATTCTCTGACATTTGCATTCGAAGCTCGTCATTTGCATCTTTGCAAAGTTGGTCTAGTGAAAAAAAGATGACAAAGGAAGTAGGAAGTGAGTCTTGAAAGTTGGGCAAATTGAAAAATGATTAAAGAAGAGAAGGAAATGTACAAATTAATTTGCTTTTTTCACAGTTCATCATGAATTATTTTGGCTAATAATAAAAGTAAAACTGGTAAAGCAGAAAAAGCTATGATTCAACAAGATAATTCAATCAATGATGAAGTAATGAAAAAATGAAAAGATTAGCAAAAGATTGAGACTTCAATTCTGATTAATGTTGTTGCAACTTTAAAATAATCAAATTCTCGATCAAATGAAACGGATTCTTGAAGCTGATCACAATCGCCACTCACTGATTTATGACTCGTTCAAGCCTTTAATTTTAAATCGACTTAAGATATCATCTTAGCTTGTGAGATAATCTTCATGTTAAATGCTGTCATCTTCAGAGTTACTCTTTAAAACCAATGATTAACACCAAATTTTGAGTAAGCAAAGCAACTTAACTCAAACTTGAGTCAATCAGTATTGTCTTAAGTCTTGTTGATCGTCAGGTACAAATGATCCAATGATGAACAGGAGCTTGTCAGGTCAACTGTGAGTGCTCATTAAAAGGATTTAACTTTAGTCAGCAAATTATCAATATTCAGATGACTTTGAGTTTCATCAATTTCTTGTCACAATAATAAGGCAAAATGCGAGATGAAATGAACAACAATTTCAACTTCAACTTTGGTCTTGATGTTTATACATTTTTGCGTCATTAACAAATCGCTAAATAGTTTGCGTCGACAAATTTGTAACCATAAATGAGAAATGCATTTAAATGTTGATGTTAAGTATTTTCCGTTTTTTGTTGTTCTCACGATAACCACATAACAATGTGAACAAGCACTTCAATAATAATGAGGATCAAGAACTAAACTGTCAACAAAATGTCACTCGTGCTTCAAACTGTGCGTGTTCATCATGTACACTATGTTAATATTGCTCTTAAAGAGACGACTTGAAGACAGAATTGAAAAGACAATCGCAACAATATTAACATTGCAAGATGATAATGAGTGAGATTTAAGTGAATATGTGATGCCTTTTCGTGATGATAATAGTGATGATAATTGTTTCACTTTTTTGCCATTTTCCCTTGTTCTTCATGTGAATTGAAATAATTCATCAAACCAACTATTTCATACTCACAAGTTCACTGTTAATCATCACCAAGACCATCATTATTATCATCATCACTTCATGGGAAAAGGGAACAATTCAACTGACATTTTTATCATTTAGAGTTTGATTGTTGAGAGAAAAAAGTTTTACCTTTGAATTCATTTGCAGATGAATACAATTCATTTCATCATTCAATTTCAACCAGCATCATTTCAAATTGAAATGATGGCCAAGTGTTTCAAAGAGAATAAGGGTTTTCATATTTTCTCCATTCTTCATTTTCTAATCATATTCCAATTACTTTTACCAATGTTAATGAGAGCAATAAATTGGCTTATTATTCAGTGAGATTAAAGCAATTCCCTGTTTACAATTAAAGCTCAATTTGACTTGTTGACTCAAAGTAGCAAAAATTCAAATTGATTATTCCAAGTAAAGTTCACAGAAGTCATGAGAAATAATTGTTGACATAGTAAAGAGAAGAAAAAAGAATTGATGTTTTTTCGAAGAAAGAAAATGATAAATAATATTTGTATATTTTATTCGTTTTTTCGAGGATAAACTTTAGATTGACTTACTAATGATGATTGTTGCAATGATAATGCTAATAAATATTCAAATTGATCAAATTGAAATGTAAAATCGGTTGGTAAAGGGTAAAGTTGGGAAACGATAAAAGGAAAAATGTTGACTTGAAGAATGGAAAAAAGAGTAAAAGAAGAACCTTTTTTCACCAGAAAATAATAGAAAAGCTACTTTTGCATAGTTTTCCTTTCTTGGTTCATGCTTTCAATCATTTCAATCATGTAAATTCTGGGCTTTATTTTGGCGTTTTTTATTCTAGCCAAATTTACCAAACTTTATTGTTGGCAGAATATTATTTCAATGAGTTCGATGGAGAAAATGCATGATGAACAAGGATGATTGATAAAGAAGGAAGAAAAAAGAGAAAAGTAAAAAGAAGGAAACTTTTCTGAATTAGAATTGATATTTTCAATGGTAAACAGCTATAAATTGACACAAATTGAATAAAATGTTTCATGTTTTCTGGTGTAAATATGACCAAAAGCTTTGGAAAGTTGAAACATTGAAAGAAAGCTGAATAAGGTAACAACTCAACACTAATGAATGTCATTTCAAGAGACAGTTGAGTTGTCGAGTCAGGAAAAGGCGTGTTCAGACTCAACTCATGTTAACGTTACTGCAAGTTGAGTTAGCTGGATCAGCATTGAAACTATAGATGAAGCAAATGGAAGAAAAGTAAAGCACAAAATGAAAGAAACAACTTTTTCATTATTGGATCCTTCATCGTGTCAACAACTTATCAAACAATCAAAGATAATCTCATGTAAATCTTAACACTAATAATGTCATGTTTCTTTCCTCACTAATTTTCATATCAATATCTTGAACCATATTCATTTAATTAAAGACTTGAAGGCAATTGAAGGCTTCCATTGAATGTTGAACCAAAAAGGTAATCAGTCGAATCATCAAAGTCTTTGGATAAGTTTCGAGGTGAATAAGGATCATTAGTATCAACATCGAAATTCAATCGAAAAATTGAGTTTTCTATTTGCATTTATCAAAAAATAGATTTTTCGAGTTTTCTTTTTCTTTTTTTCAGTCAACTGAACTTCTATTTGCAGCAATATTGAAAGAGAAAAATTTTCATGATTCGGATAAAAATAAAGTTCCAAAGGTTGAGGATGTGACAGGGCGTTTAATGGTAGTGTACTTGAAGGTAAAGGCTTAAGATTTTTAATTAAATTCTGTAATTAGAATTGCTCAGAAGATTAGAATTTTTAAAATGAAACTTTGGTCTTGATTAAAATTCATTTTGATATCGACTGAGTTTGCTTTAGTCAAAGAGCTCAACAATCTTGAGCTTATGAAATTTAATTTTCATGTTGACACGAAAATTGAAAATCATTATTTGGATTCTTCCTCTTTTCCCATTGACTTAAGGCGACTTTTTTCAGAAAATAATTGATGAATTATTCTGAACCTTTTTAAAAATCCTTTTTTTCAACAACAAAATAACAATGAAAGTCGATCAAAAAACTAATCATAATTATCATGTTAATTCAAGTTAATTACAAGTCATGTTACTGGTCTGTTATTATCAGTAAATTATTTTTCAAAACTAATTGCGATAATTTGGCTTAAATTGAGTTAACTTTTTTTGTCTCTTCCAATCTTGTGTGGTCTTGCCGATGAAATATCATCTTCAATTACCTAACATCATCATGAAACATTTTCTTCATTCATTCCATTCAACTTTTTCGTTTACTTCGTTTACCTGTTTAAATAACTTTTTATCGGCAAATTATTCTATTCTTTTATTGCCAGCTGATAAGTCAAATGTATTCAATCATTTATTTTCCATTCTCTTTGAGTTACCCTGAAAATTTTATTCAATGGTCAAGAGAATAAAAAAAGAGAAGAAAAAGTTTTGCAATAATGAGTGATAATAAATTCAGTTTCATTTTTTTTATTCTCATGTTATTGTATCTCTTGTCGTTGATTGATTATTATTGCCTTTGAATTACTGCAACCATTTTCCATATCTGTTTGGATACATCAAAATGTCCTTTACTCCTCATCTTGATTCCAATTGAAATGATAAATAAAATATTTATGATCATTTGACTCTCAGCTCAACAGGGAATTAATGTAGTGCTTTTGAGATTTGATTCACTCCAAACTCAAGTCAACTCCATATTTCAATAATGCGATAAAACCAAAGTAAATAGTGAGTGATGAACAAAGATATCGAGAGAAACAACCAAATGTCCAACATAATTATTAAATGTTCAAACCAAGTACAGTTTAACAATAGCTTTTCCATTTCATTAAAATGCATGAAAAGTGCATCAAGTAATGACAAGAAAATCGTTAATTTCAAA